AAGATCAACTGGTTAACGCTGTTTAAGGAAATAATCGCTGTTTATAATGAGACACGCACTGCGTACATAATATTTAAGAATCCAGTCCGTACCGCGAAGAAAACACAACTCTTCACCATTACAAAGATCAACTGGTTAACGCTGTTTAAGGAAATAATCGCTGTTTATAATGAGACACGCACTGCGTACATAATATTTAAGAATTCAGTCCGTACCGCGAAGAAAACACCACACTTCACCATTACAAAGATCAATTAGTTAACGATGTTTAAGGAAATAATCGCTGTTTACTTTAAAAATCATACGAAAAACATAAATACACCGTGGAAAAACAATGCAGATTTATTAACTTTTTAAGAAAATGGTATATATAGTTACCGCTGGGCGTTAAACGATTTAAGCCGCCAGAAAGTGTAATTTATAGGTAAGATCAGTTTTTCAGTGTACTGCTGAAAATGTGACGTTTACAAAACGTTCACAATGTCGTATTTACGTAGTGTTATGTTCGCATTTGAAGTTACTGAATATAGTATTTTGTGCCGTTCTATTAACTGGATCGTTGTTGATGTTAGCGATTTGTATAGAAAGACGTGGTTTGGTTTCTGGCCCCTCCCGAGGAAACCTTGAACACAGGACATTTATTATATCTGTGATTAGTACTACGCCATGAAAACGCGCGGAGGATTTGGAGGTCGAACTCCATGCACTTTTAGCCTTGGCACTAGATGGGAATGATTGGCAAGCTAAGTATTATTACTTAAAAAAAAACATGGCTGTATTCTGGGTTGTAGCTCCGTTGTCCGACGTTTCAGAGATGCTTGCTGCCTCCGTCATCGTCGTTCTTATGGTAGAGGCAACTGGTACTTCTGAAACGACAACCCATAAGATAGCTGATATTAACATCGCCATGGAAACCTCAAATAGTACATTGTTTCAGCGGTAAATTCTTGTATTGTTTATACTCAGGTGTGGGTTACCTATATACATGTGGCTCAGGTTCAAAAATAGGATGATGCGCCCCCAAATATTGATCTTCCTTAGAATCCGCTCCAGCCTTGCCTGGTGGAGAGATGTTCCTCGTGACGTCATGCCGATTGTATTTCAACGACCTCCAACATTGTTGTGGTGGTGGTGGTGGGGGGGGGGGGTTAGTGTAGGGTGTCTGGCAGTGACTTTGTATTCTTGAGATTGTGAGAAAATCGTGGTCTAGTGAAAAAGGCTATGTTGACTGGACGACCGTGGTTCGAGACCCGGCAGGGTGGATTTTTTTTTCTCGTTACAACATCCAGACCGGCCAGGGGGCCTATCCTAAGGGCATCTGGGGTCCTTTCTCCGAGGGAAAAGCTGTTGGAACGCGTAGCTAATGATTTGCCTCAATGAAGTGCCCATGTGAAGATGTGGAATTGTATCTCCAGTTCCCCCACATGTTTTTCGTATGACGTACTTCGTGATTCACCAGTGGACAGTACCAGACCTTACCCGCGGAGTGTGTTCATTATGGTTCTTAAAAATAAACAGCGATTACTTCCTCAAACAGAGTCAACCAATTGATTTTTTTAATGGTGAAGCAGTATGTTTTCTTTGTGGTACGGACTGTTTATTTCTGTTAATTCTAATACTGCACTATTGTCCGGCAGATGGCAACACTGCATACGCGTCATTACCCTGCCTTCTAGCGACGGATTTTGAAACTACATAGAGTACTAATTCCCTGTATATGGCCTCTGAGTAAAAGTGGTATATGTTCATGTTTCTCTGTCCGAAAGCATTGAGCCTTCTCATGGAAGTGGAAAAAGGGAATATGTTCGTATCCAGTAGCTCCTGGTTATCTATGCTACAAGGCGAGTAGAAGTTTCTCAAAAGAGCAATGCTGATAAACATGACATCGAAATATTTTCGGTGGTAAGGGAATAGTAGAATTGAGAAATTTATGATGTTAGAAGTACAAAATCTCAAAACCAAGATATGTGAACGTTTTCACACTTCATTTGTTTTATGACGTTTCTGTCCAGATGGCGTTCGTGTAGGTTTTCTGTTGTCAGCAGAGTTTTGTTCGGAGTTGATGGTACTTTGTGGTTGTGTTTGTGTTATGATCATTAGTGATATTTAATTTACAGTTGTTTTGGAGTGGGTAGATTGTGTAAAGTTATCGTTTTGAGGGAGGTCAGCTTTATCCACGGTATATTTGATGGAAGATACACGTAGAGGGACGGATTTCTCTTGAAGAATAGCCGGCCATCTACGACTCGACTGGACTCGATGGGTTTTGGCTGATGAATCATTGACAGTAAAGACAATATATTGTGTGTTCCTTGGGCATTAAGTTGACAGAGTGTTCGTGAAAAACTAAGGGAGCAGTTAAGTGACAAAAAAGAAAACTTACATAATAAACAGACACACAGACAGTTTAGGGACCTATCTGTTGACTGGAGTAGCTTCTTCAGCATTCCGATGGTTGTTTCTTATTTGTCAGAGGTAAGGTTTACTAAGTGTTGTTTGTTGGCCGAATAATAGTACGTAGGTTCCACGCAGGATGAATATATTATCCCCAAACTAAGTTCAGCATGCCTTGACGAGGACAGTCATGCCACTCTTGAAAATAAGTACTTTAAAAATTAGTAACTTTTCTTATGTCCACTCTATTATGTCATAAGGAGTTTTCTGGGAAAATTCAATAGGAAGCAAAAGAGTATTTAACATCCAAAATAAAATAATTAGAACAATGACATGTGAAAGTATCCTGTACAGAGCAATTTAAGAATTATGATACACTTCCCCTTGCAATTTGATTTTTACTTATTGCTGTCATTTGTTGTCAATAACAGGGAGAAGGTTCAAAGAAATTCTGATATACATAGTATAAATGCAAGGGATAAACATTACCTCTTCATGCCAAATGCAAACTTCACAAATTTCAGAAATGTACTTACTATTCATGGATAAAATTATACATCTCTTCCAGCAAGCATTGAAAAATGTATACTTTAAGCCAGCATAGAAAGATTATATTTTATGGAACTGCAACTCTATGAAAGAAACCCTTAAATATTGTAAATATTTATGTAAATAGCTGTAAGAACTTCATAGTTAAATTTGTATTGGTATTTTTAATATGTTGTATTCCACATTCTTTGCTTGTAATATGGAGGATCTGTGGAATGTAAGTAAATTTTATTCTGTCTCATTCTCGGTATGGATTTTTTTGTTTTTGTTTCTAAAGCCATGACAATGGAGAGGAGAATAAAATTGAAGACACTTAACAGTCACATTACGTGCAAAATCTGCCGAGGCTATCTGATTGACGCTACTACGGTTACGGAGTGCCTCCACACGTGTAAGTTTTTGTATGAAATATTTATTTACTTTATGTAGTCCGATTAGTTTTATTTGCAATTTGTTATTTGTGTTCTTTCATTCACCTTGAATTTGCACATCTCTCTGGGTGTTATGTGATTTATTTGATTGTAATATCTGTAATAAGTATTTATTTACTTTTTGAGGCGTAGTGTGTCGTCACGATATTGTGACCAATCTTAATTCTGTATAGACGTTGTTGTGGTCAGTGCTCGCATTTGTGACAGTGAAGATAGACAATTTTTATGTTCTCAGATATAAAACAACTTCATGTTTATCAAACAATTCTACATTTAATGACATAAAGTTTTGTGCCGTGTGTAGTAAAAATACAACACAAATTCTGTGGCCGGTTGGCTGTTGTTTGGGTCAAAGACGATCAACAAATATTACATGTGTGACCCACTCCATAAGTTTTGTGACGGGATAAGGATATTAGGCTGACTCCTATTTATTTTCATGTTGCAGTCTGCAAGAGTTGTCTCGTGAAACACCTGGAGGAAAACAACACATGTCCAACCTGTCAGATCGTTATTCATCAGTCGCATCCACTCCAGTACATCAGTTTTGACCGCACGATGCAGGATATTGTGTATAAACTTGTACCAAATCTACAAGACAGTAAGCAAAATAATTATTGAATTCCAACAACAGAACCTCCATAATTTTAAATTTATAATTTTTGTAATTTAGAATGAAATAACTGCATTTTAATATTCTATATATTCTGTACTTGAATATTTTCTTTGAATATTATTTGCTGTGTGTAAGATCACAAACGCAGTGTGTGACATCTTATGGGAACAGTGGTATTACTCACATTTTTCTTCATGATGTGTCCTTTCATTACAGTTCCTGATATTTCCTATATAACACTTTGCCTCCCATTTTTGAAATTTTAATTTTGGGATGGCAAGAAACCGCGGTGGTCTAGCGGTTAGAACGCTGGCCTTGTAATCCTGGGATCTCGGTTTCGATTCCCGGCGGTGCCCAAATTTATAACTTGTGTCGGGCAAGGCGGTGGTCTAGGCAACACGGAGTTTTCCTCCGTGGCATCCCAACAATTACTCCATTCACACACAGAAGAAGGCAATGGCAAACCACTTCTGGATCATCTGCCAAGAACGTATATGAACAGGTCCCAGTCCGAGAAAAGGATGGAAGGATCCTGTTCGTAATATGTCGCCAACCTCCTGTAAAGGAGACGGCGTAATAAAGAAGAAGAAGCAATTTGCTAATCTTTTTCTGATATTCTTCTCGTTTGTAGTGCTCCCACGTTAAGGGTTACAAACAAAGGTATTTATCTTCTGAACACACTTGAATCCATGCCCCACTGTTTCCAAAACCTCTTATATAAAAATTAGTGTAAATATAAATAAAATTTTAATGAAAGGTTTAAGCATGTTTTTATGTGTCATGTAAATTGTGGAGGAGAAATCGAGAAACGTCTCTCAGAGTATGTTCTTTAACTCGTGCAGATGAGATCAAACGTGAAAGAGAGTTTTATCGTATAAGGGGCTTGCCCTGCCCCAAAGACATCCCACCCACTGCTGGAGAGTTAGAGGAGGAGAAGGCCGCTCCAGATCAGCACGCAGAATCCGACTACCATCGCCAGGACGAACAGGTGACTCAGGAGATCATATTAATTTATGTTATGCTGTTACTGAATTTAATGTGGCCAATATGGAAACTTGTGTATTAACATGCTGACATCCGCCACAGTGGTCTAGCGGTTAGAATGCCGGGCTTGTAATACTGGGGTCCCAGGTGCTCAGATTTACAACTTGTGTTGGGCAAGGCCGTGGTCTAGGCATCACGGAGTTTTCCTCCGGGGTTTCTCCGTGGCATCCCAACAATCACTCCACTTTCATTATCATCTCGCAAAAAGGGGGTCACAGCAGGAGCGTTAAATGTCGCGGTCCCGATCGAACCCGTGTACTGATGGGTCGTGAAACAAGTGAGACAGATGGAACAGTTCCATCCTAGACCAGTTGGCACGATTAAAAATTACATATGCATTTCTTATTCACGTTTCAGGTTAACGTGGGCTTGGAGTGCATGAGTACAAACATGAAGACTTTGAAGCGAAGGTTCATACGCTGTTCTGCGCAGGCGACTATAACTCATCTCAAGAAGTTTATCGCAAAGAAAGTCCTGAACGGTACAGAGAAGTACAGAGATGTAAGTATCGCCCTTGCACGTTATGGTCGATCCCGTAAACGTGATTGAAAGCGATGTTTTAGGGACGTTTACGGAGCGGATGTTAAGACTTACTTGAGGGGATTGGCGATCAACTCGTGACATGTGTATCGTCGCCGTGAAGAAGTTTAAGACTCGTTTATGACCAGATATGTCGTGACGCTTCCTTCCCTGGTTTTTGCCGATGCTGTTATCTGTTGTTCTGATCAGAACGTGGTACTGGATGTTGAATGTATAATCGTGTAATAAGTAACGCAGGTGTATTGCACGATGGCCATTTTCCTTGAAATTTAAAGTGTATTGTTTTTTGAAATTTTTTGACCTTGTAATTATTTGCGTAAAATGTTTTTTTTACAGATTGATATCCTGTGTAACGATGAACTGCTGGGTAAGGACCACACACTAAAGTTTGTGTACGTCACAAGATGGAGGTTTCGAGATCCACCGCTCAGGTTACAATACAGACCTCGAATAGACATTTAATTCCATCACTGTTCTTTCCTGCGTACTTGTGTTTGAATATAGTGTGCGCATGTGTGTGTGGATGTACTTGGAAAGGCGTGTCTCAGTAAAAACCACTTAATAGAGTATCAACAGACATCAGTTTAGGCAACATGTGAAGAAAAATATTTCTGAAATATTGGTATCAGTATTTGATATTGCAAACGGTCCTTGAAGGTCTGACTTGTACTAGTTTTATCAGTTCACTGGCATGTTTTCTATGCCCATATATTAGGATCCAATTGAATTTAAAATAGAAAAAGGTTTTTGATTTGTCGGTGAGAAGGAAACGCTTGGAAATTGAAACATTTTCTGTTCCATGTCGCCATTTAAATCACAACTGAAACATTTGTTTTTATTGGTGTTTAATATTTCCTGCTAAATTATTAAGTAATTAGAGGTCTTGTTTCTTGATACCGAAAGTAATCCAAGATTATATATTCAAAAACCTATATTTGTCAAATATTAACAGAAATTGCGTAAGTTTTTACAAGCGCATCTGAATTCAGATTGAAGAGGTTTTACTGAAGTATCTTGATTAATCGGAGTATTTTATTATGGGCCGATTTGCTACTCTGCGGCTGTACACGGCGGAGAGATGTGTGTCCTGTTGCTTGTAGGGTGACCAACTATTTTGTTTGTTAAGTGGTTGGAAGTTCATATTTTGTATCGGTGGTTCTCGGCTGCTTCTGACGAACTTCCTTATTTAAATGTTTGATAGAGTTGATGAGTGTCAAGAAGTGTTAATGGATAATGAAAGTGTCATTCTCGTAGATTCCTGAGGACGTGGTACAGTGTCATTTGTTTTCGGTGAAACATTATCTGCATTATTATAGCCTTTATACTAAGTGATGGGAAAACAAGAAGACGTTCGGAACGTTTGTGCAATTTGCAACCTATGAGGTTGACGAGTGGCAGTATACGAGATGAAATATTTATTTGATCAAACTACGATTCGGAGTGAATATGTGCCTTAACTTCTTATGTGCTATGTTTTCTCAGGCACTGTTGTCATTTTTAGAGCAGGTTATCCTAAGCCGTTACAAGATCAGTAGTGCAACGCTGCATCTTTATTCAACGTACACTGAAAGGAAAATAATAACTTGACATCTAGACCACGCAGAATTTCATAAATGTATTTTCATCCTAAAGAATATTTTTGTTGTCCTTCCATGTATAACTGCAGAGTTCTATTACAAAAATAAATGTACTTTTGAGTCGTATGAATATGCAGCATCTGATCTCAATTTGGAATTAAATTTTGTCGTATTGAAGTTATGTTATGGATGGATGGAGTTGGTTCAGGATCGTGGCCGGTGGCAGGCTACGGTGTTGTCGGTGTCGGACCTGCGGGTTCTGCTGCCAGGGAGTTAGTTTTAATGTTCAACTCAGTTGTTAACATCTGTTTTAAATTTGATAAGGCTAGTAATTTTACTTTAACTTGAATTAGCTTTATACGGTAAACATCCATTCTGGATTTTCATATACACACCAGAACAAATGCAAAAAATTATTTGCTGAATGTGGAAAATTAGAATAAACACTCAGTTTGCTGAATATGTTCTGGTACTGTACGTGCCAGCGGATGCAGTGGTATTTCACGTGACGTCTCTAGTTCTCCGTCTTCTGTCTCGCGTAATCACTCGACTCAGTCTTCCTTATTCTGTCGCATAAATTACAGTAAAATACAATGCTTAATATATTATTATTTATCATATGTAAATGTCAATGTTTATGGTTTTACTATGTTTTCATGTGACTTGTTTTATTTAATATACATTTTAGGTAAGACTGTGTGCATGTGTGAAAGATCTTTGTATCTATATGGAAATATTCCCATTTAACCTGTAAAGTATTAAATTCGTCCAATGTGCGTTTACCTGATGCAGAGTTTTGAGGAACCTAACCATACATCTGTCCCGCGCCGTAGCCGCGTGGTCCGAGGCATCGTGTTTCGGACCGGCGATATGGAATGCGCGCTGTTTCGAGTCTCGGGGGAGAAGAAATTTTCTCATGAGCTTTCGACCAGTGTATGGGACCGGTGCCAAAACAGCATCGTGAGGAAATTGGGGAGCTACAATGAGTAGCGTCAGGAAAGCTAGCAATGGCTGGGGGTTCGTCGTGCTGACCACACGTCACCCTATATCTGGTTGGATGATCGTTCACCTCTGCTTAGGTACGTGAACGTGAGGCCGGCAGCCAGCTAGTCGGCTTTGGCTCTCAGAGGGCTTTTACGCCAAGGATTATTTAACCATACATCTAAATATGTGAGCAAGCTGCCGATCGAAGATCTATTGGAAGTGCTTACAGTGTGTGGGAGCAAACGTACTGGTTTCGAAGGTTGGTCACCCTAGAACTGAAAAAACTGATACAATCACTGTTATTCATAGCACGTGATTACTGTGGAATGTTTTTCTGTCAACGCAGGCCGTGGTTTGGGAACAATTTGTATTATTTTTTCCTTTATTTCTATAAACGAAGACAGCTGGTTTCCTATCGTATTTTTGTAACTTGTAATTATTTTGTTACTAAGAATACCAAGAGTATATTGAGACTGATATTGAGTTATGTAGTTGGTAATTTAAGGAACTTATTTTTCATATTCATGTAAAAGAGTGCAGTATATGCTCTTCTGATCTTTCAAACTTACATTTTGTTAACGTGAAATTTATGAATGTCATTTACGAAGAATCATTTATATTTGTTTCCAGCTGTGTGAAAATGATAAAGTGGAGCGATGCCGGAAGTGTGTGGTACTGAACTATTTGATGTTTATTATTTAAATTATATCCATGTGGTTGTTGATGTTATTGTCAGTTTATGTAAATTTTTTGCAGCATTCACTGGTATCTTTTAAAAAATAAATCTGGTATAAACACTGAATGGTATATTTTATGAGCTGGGTTTGGTATACCTGAGCATACCAGTGTTTTAAAAAGGAATCTGAAATAGCTGTTATTGTACATGTCTCAATTCTTGAGTTTTTCTTCGTCAGTTGTATAAAGATTAACGCTCATCACAATGTAATTTTACATGCATTCAGATGAAAGCATATCACAAAATATATCTTTATAGTTACTGAAGGTGGTGTAGTGCTGTATTGTCAGTGGTAAACTTCTACCAGAATATGTGCTGCTACCACCCAGAAGGCAGCCATCTTCATACATGCTGCCAGTAATCACTTTTCACACACCTGCATTCTTTTACCATATATGTTAGGTTATGATGTTAAAGTTGCTCCATATTTGCTATTTTCTCCCAAGCAGTTATCCCTTCAGAATTTCAACCAAAGTATATGAAATTTTAATCTCCCCATAGTTCCAAATCAACCACCAATTTCAGTGCCCCGTTATCGTGCACTATTTTCAAATCGAACTGAAGGTGCAAAGTACATTTGTGCATTTGGCTGGTATCGTAGAAAATGTGACTCCAAGCGTCGTGACACCAACACAATAATCCATATAAAGAGAAGACACGCTTTGGAATGCCATACGACAGGAAACCAACGCCTACACAAGATTTCGAATAAAGCGAAGGCAATTCTCAGTACACCACGTGAGAACTTTGGAAAATTGACGCCGAGCGTCTGAACGCCATGAGACACGATGCCGGCAACTTGACGCCGAAGGTCGCTGCGCTGACAACATTCCGAATAAAATGATGCTAAATAAAGATGAACTAAATTTGGTGCTCATTTAAATTAGGGGCAGTAGGCAGGTATTACGTAGCGTTTTATAAGAAGTGAAAGCAAAAGTTTATGTGATGCAAACGAAAGCGGCAGCGTAACGACCCACTGCCTTACACTTTCTACGTATAGCATACTACGTTTGCAGTTCCTGTCGCCGTCGAACTTCCGCATCGGTTGTATAAAAAATCGATTAGCTGTCGCATTGGGATTGTGCAAAATGTAATGCCGATTTAAATTATTATATATCGCTATATTCAGTGCATATAATTACAACTGTATCTCAGCAGCAATAGTAACCACAAAAAGAAATATGCGAACTGCATCAAGGAAGTTACTCGTTTTGTATAGCATTTTATATTCTAATCATTGCATTCTTGAAGTGACTGTACATGCTACATGTTGTTGGACTTCACTGTACATGTCTGTTGGTAACTCACCTTCATTTGTTTCGTATGTGACGTCACAATGAAATGGCCCCTGTTAGTTTCTCTATACGATGTGTGGGGTTTTGGTTAACAGGTTTTTTTATACGATGTGTGGGGTTTTGGTTAACATTATTTGTGCTTCATTGAAGTAAAATTTTAGTATTTTATTTTCAAACTGGATAACGCAGTGGTTGGTAGGTACCTCAGTTTTCAAGATCATGAATTTGTTAACTGCGTTGTTGCTGATATCAAGCAATTCGTGAATCGCAGTCGCAAGAATAGAAGGTAAGAATCGAGGCATACATACTAAATTACGCATTAAAGTGCATTCGTACATCATTATTAGTGAAGATAAACCATGCAGTTACAGCACGTTCGTGTATGAGTAAAAATGTACGTTTTCCTGAACAGGTATGCATGCTTCCACCAGGAAGACATTCTGTTGTAGTGAAAGTGAGGAGGTAGTTTGATGTATCTTGGATTATAACTGTTGTTTGGAAGGTGCATGTTAAATGCTGCCCCACTTTTACTCTCAATTCACTTTCAGTGTGCTGGTATTTCCTCCAGTAAACAACTACAGACGATTCCTTATACACAAAGTATCAGAGGAGTATCCTGAAGAACTGTGCACATTTTCTATAGGGCAAGGCCATGGGCGGAGGACAGTAGTGTGTTTTAAGAGACTCCTTATAAGGTAATGCGTTTTGCATTTTCCATTTTATATGACATTGTGAGTGTGAAGACAGATTTACTTTTAAAATATTAATTATTAATATTTTAGCAAGATGTTCAACTTGTGTTTGATCTTCTGCCAGTTATTACTACTGTTGACCTAGAAGATTTTGCATTTATCTTGTGCAGGTTTGTTTTGTTTGAGTGTATTAAAAGTGACGTTCTGTATAGTAATTGTGCCTATGCAGCAAGAATAAAGGGTGTGGTTGGAATGAATTTTTTCTTAGCTTTGGCACAAATATTTTATCAGGGATTTACATCAGACAAGGCCAACAGATGAACCTGTAAGTGATACTTCACAGCCGGTCAAAAGACTTGGAACTATGGGTGTAGAGTGTCAACGTGTGGCCGATGAAGCTGCCGCTGCCCCTGCCAAAGATAACAATGTGAAACGAGGCAAGTAACTTATTTAATATGAGCTTAGGATTATTTTTAAATGTTGACAACTCAACTGCTGTGAGTAACTAAGTTCTTCAGTAGGAATGTTATCTGTTTGTATTTTACTGTGGCTGCTGAATTATTGTGGTGGAAGGATGATGCATACAAATAGATGTGCTGCATTATATGAGGATTGGTGCTTTTTCTTGAATTCATTTTCTCTTTGTTTTCCTGGAAAATTTGATCTCAACTGTTGTTTGTGTGTCATTCATGAAATTATTGGATGGTAATATTGTCATTTTTGAGTATAGGTTAGAAAATATTTATATTATGATTTAATTTTAATTCTTAGCAAGGGCAGTGCCAACAGTTGGTATCTATCGGCCTCCTGCTGCCAGACGATCAGAAGAACAGACTGCTCCTTTACCAAGATCGGGTCCATCAACTGTTGAGATAAAATGTGATAGAACAAGGTTAGTTTCTTTTGAACAAAAAGGTGTATCAGATGTGGTGAAAAATGAAGTCTTGGATAATTACCAGGAAGGAGGAAGTTATGTATTGTGGATATTCTTAAATTACCTGTTTTTGTGGGTAAGAAATGTCAGACAAGTTTCAATATGCAAACTGGCTGGCTGTAGGCTGGATTACCTGGGTCCAGATTCATGACGGGAGCTGCCGCCATATCTGGGGTGCAGTCCTCATATTCACATTTTATCATCAGTGTATATAAGTGTCCTATGCTCGTCTATTAATTTAGAAAGTTGATTTATAGATAGCGAGAAAGAAATTCTTTGTCTTCTGTGGAGCCTGAATGTTTATTATCAAATTTACAAGGTGATAACCACAGTCTACTTCAGCATAACAAGATGAATCCCCGCTGAAATTATTTCTAATTTAATTTGTAGGCCTGGCAGACAGCGTCGACCAGACATCCAAGTTTATGTGCCTCGTGCCAGACGTTTGTTAACTGGTGGACAAGACAGGATTGCCACATCAACAACAAGCACGCCATCTTGCCAGGAATCAAGTGGCCAAAACCTCAGAACGCAAGAGAATTTGCTTTCTAAGAATTTGACACGACCATCACAGAAGTCAAACAGTCTCTTGCCCTCTAAGGACCATAAGTCCAAATCAGCAGCATTTCAGTGCGATAGTTTACCACTGAATTCAGTGTCACTTGGGCCAGACCCCAATGAAACGGATATGGAAGTATCGAAGTGGACTGAGAGTATGGGACAGGCAGGAGAATCAAACTGCGACTTGAGCAATTTTAGTTCCGAGGTGAACGATGTCGAACAGTTTAATATGGGTGTTAATGGGGTGATGACGCAGCAGATACTTGCTGAGAAAGCTTCTAGGAAGAAAGATGTAAGAAAAATGGAAAATTTTGAGGTGGGGATGGAAGAAGTTGGTGTAGGAAGGGGGATCATGAGTGCAAAGTGTAAAAGTTTGACGTTTGGGCGGAGGAAGCGTAGTGAAGGGCAGGTTTGGGATTGTTTTAATAATATTAAAAATGGTAGTAGTATTTCAGAGACTGCATCACTTCATTGTGGAAAAGATAAGTGTGATTCTGTACAGTCTAGCAACGCCCGTCAGGAGTCGGTGGCTCGCTCTGTTAACGAAAAGGAAGAATGTGACACTACACAGTCAGTTTGCGAAGATTCAAGACCAGTGGACTTCACAGATAATTTTCCATGTGAAGTTGGCGTTGGGCGAGGTTTTACGCGTAGGGGTGGCGATACTCCCGGACACGGCAGCCTGAACAGTCCGTTGGAAACTGATAACGGCGTTCGAGTATGGGATTATTACAGTGAAAATGAAAATGCAGCAAACAGTTCTCAGGACAAAATTTCAAGCTGTGAAACGGATATTCCCGAGTCTTCCGAACGTAGCGGCACGTGTCATGATCACGATTTTGTGAACAAGTGTTTGGACATGTCATTGAATCAGGAAGAGTCAGATTCAATGGCGAAGAGTTCTGATGACAGTGACCAATTTCAAGATTTTTCAGATGCTGTTCATGAAAATGAATTCAGTAACTCTCGTGACGAAGAGGTTCGCAATATTTATGGCGATACAAGTTCTCCGAGCTCGGTAGTTCGCGAGAAACGTGATGGTAGCTCTGAAGACGGCGTACGTAGCAAAAATACTTTTGTTAGCGATGAATGTCACAAGAAGAATGAGAATGATTGTCGAGTTCAAGAAGAACAGAACAGGAAAAACAGGAGGATAATCAGGAGGAACTATATGTCGGACGTGTTGATCATCTCGGAACCGGTGAAGGACGTTACTCCGCTGTCAAAACATGTTGATTCTAGTTCGGATAATACTTTGTTGCCTAGCGGCGTCTTTAATAAAAAGAAGAAAGTTCAATGCAAAGGTGAAAATGTTATAATGAAAAATGACGGGCCACATTCTGAAGAACAGTCAGCTGACAAGCACAAATCATCTCCAGTGTCCGATTTGGTGTCGTTGAATTTGAATCCAGATGAATGCACATGGGATATGATGTTTGATGACGATGGGGAATGCCTTGATCCAAAATTGATGGAAGAAGTAAGTATAAAGTACCTGTTGTGGTTGGTTAAACGAACGCTGTGTTGAGACATAACAGGATATCTCTGGTGTTCGAAATTACAACTGATGTTCTTGCGTATTATGTTGAGACGTAATGGGATATCTCTGGTGTTTGAAATTACAACTGATGTTCTTGCGTATTTACTAACCATTGTTTTCAAGACATAATTACAGTTCATTTAGCATAATTAGTGTTTTCCACATTAAGAAAAATTTCTTTGAAATATGTTGCTAAATTGATTTTTTTCTGTAATTAATTTAACGCCTGTTACGAGTATGGTTTTCCATGGTTACATCATCTGATTTATGAAAGTTTTGTTTGTTATGCAGTTACTGTAAAATCTTCTAAAACAACTAACCTTTTAAAACAAATGGACGTGAGATTGAGTTCGGTTTATGAGAGCTGACGTTGCTTCGATTCTTAATCCAGTTCATCTGTCCATGTTTTGTAACATCTAGAACAGTGGTCCCCAACGCGGTGCCCGCGGGCGCCAAGGCTTTCTTTGGGCGCCCGCGTTGATACGGAAAGAGGTTATACTGAATAATGAAGGCCGTTCAACCACGAACATTATAAAATCAAAGCGCGGATCTCGACTTACTGACGCCCATCTTGACGATTGTTTGCGAGCAGCAACATCATCCTACACTCCCAAATTTGAAAAACTGGCCGATGAAATGCAGCGCCAAACTTCCCACTTGAGTAATAATAATTGTACTTATAAAAGTACGTATTTTTTATTGCATGGATTCTTGTATCATTAAACGTCGTGTTGTTTTGCGTATTATTTGGTGTCCATATCTTATTTGTCCAGAGAAAAGAAAATTTGGCTTTGTTAATTGGTTGGTGCTCGCCACATCTCATAAACGCTCAAATGTGCCCGTAGGCACAAAAACGTTGGGGACCACTGGTCTAGAACGTCTGTCCCTGACGCCACGAGTTTGAGCAGTCTTAATCAGTTTAATTCAAGAATACGTATACTAATTTTATTTTATGATGAATTTTTTAGTTTTCAGTGGCCACATAATAGCGTCTGGATATTTCTGTACTTCTTTTAGTAATGGAGGAATTCATCATTGTTACAGCTTACAAAATCTGTTGGGTCAGTAACAATTGAAAAGCCTCAGTCAGATTACCGCAGCTTTCAGAGTCACGTCGAGTTAGTGGGTGGAACGGACGACGAGTTCTCTCACGTGCTTGAGATCTACAACTTCCCTGCTGAATTTAAAACGAATGACTTGTGCGCTGTGTTCTCTCCCTATATGAAGAGGGGTTTCGAGATTAAATGGGTTGACGATACGCATGCCCTGGGTGTGTTCAGCAGCTCTGTAGTTGGTAAGTGTCAGTGTTGTTCGTTGCTAAAGACGTGCGATTTGAGGTTCTCGTGGCATTGTTGATTTTCTCTGTTCTAACAGTGTGTGTGGCCTTGTAGGGGTTTGGAGCCCTGACAATGGAGGTGGTATGTTCCTCCAAAATGAAGACGGTAATAGTAATAACTATAATGATGATGATACTGACAATGATAATATTTTGATGATAGTGATGATTATGACCAGTGATGACAATAAACAGGTTGGTTTCAGAAGGTCATGGATATTTGTTCTTGCAGCTGCTGAAGTACTAGCGGCACATCATCCGTTTGTCAAAACACGACCATTACACGAAGCGACTCACGAGTCTCGGATGAAAGCCCGTCGATCGGCCGAGTTCCTGCAGCCGTGCCGTGTCCGACCAGAGACGTGCGCAGCTCTTGCGCGCAGACTGGTTACAGGAGCTCTCGGTGTGCGACTTAACACGTCGCGCGAAGAGCGAGAGGCAGAACGTAAGATCCTCAGTGAAGCAAGAGGTAATGTCTCTTTTGAGATTTTCACTTCTGTGAAAATGTCGGTCTTCTGGACCTCAATGTCATGTATACGTAGCCCTGAACGTGGAAACGGTATGTTTCTCTGTAATGTTGGTGTCTGCCCAGAGGTTCACGTGGTGTTGCAACCGAGACGACCATCATCAAACAGTGTCTCTTTTAGAAAATCTTAAATATAGATTTTACTGAATCCAGTTAATACCCTATTTTCCTGAGATACATTTTAATATTATCCACCTATCTATGTCTAGGTTGTCTGAGCAGTCCTTAGGTTTTCCAACCAACATTTTGTGTGTGTTTATCATTTCTCCCATTCACACTACGTGCCCCAACAATCTCAACCCCCATTAATTTTATCATCATAATATTTTTTGAACGAATTGTGGAACTCCTCGTCCTGTTTTGTCTATCCTCCTGTCAATCCATCGCTCACACATCCAGATAATCCTCTCGGCAACATCCGAGACAGTTTTCGCCGTTTGAATTGCAAAAAATCGGCAATGAAACTAATTAATATGTCTTCTTCAACCATGCAGAGAAGAAGAAGTTGGCAGCAAGACAAAGGGATGAAGCGTGGGAAGGGACATTGGGTGAGAAGTGAGCGTTGTGAACGACTATTACACGTCTCCTTGAAAACTACGCAGTACGGTAGGTAACGCAGCAATTCCGTACATGTTGCGTACTTAATTTACATATTTACTACAGAATATTTTTATTAATGTGAAATAACATGAAAAAGTCAAAATACTTCATGTTTTTTCTTTAAGTTTTAATTTGTTTTAAATTGTAGTTTGGAAGAATAATTCAGTGATGTTGTGGTATAACAATTTTCACTTGCTGTTTGCTCGTTGAAATTGTTCTTGTCCAGCTCGATATTTTAGCCGCTGGGAACCGGATCATTATTTGATGGATTCGGTTAATTTATGTTGGCGGTAGATAAAAGTTACCATTGATTTTATGAGGTATAATTAATGTGTTTGTGATTTTTCATTTGTTTTAGTAGAAGAAAGAGTAACTGTGATAACTACATGTGTATAAATTAATAAATAGGAAGTTTTAATTCAGACATGTTTGCAGATAAGAAGCCCACAGAAGGTGCAATAGTTAAAAAAAATTTGATTGAATATATGCAATATGCAAACCTTGAAACGGTTCCACTGCTTACGTATTCTTGAGCATATGGGACTTTTGAGTTCAGAAATTTTAAATCTCGTATCTCATCCTTTCTCGTATCTGTACAGTGTAAATAAACTTGAGAAGCTTTGAAGGCATTATTCGCTATGCGTCCACAAAACTTTTTAAAAGAGCATTAATGCTCATAAATATTATTTTCCTAACTACTTTTTAAAATTTATATATATATATTTCTCCAGTACAGATTCAATTATCTGGTGTTCCAGAACAAAAGATTAATTATTGTAACGCCCAAAGCGTGCAGCTCGTTCCGTGTTTGAGTCGCCTGTTAATAAGGAAGTACCACTTATTGTTCTACTATACATCACAAGTGAGCAGTTTCGAGGGAATTAAATTATGCTTCCTTTTGAGGCAAACTGTGACTAGACTGGAATAGGACGCGCCTAAAAAGAAAATCTTCCACAGGAACTTCCTGGAATCTGCCTCTTCCTAAATGACTGTCATCGTAATTATTCATGTTTCATAAATTTTATAGATATGATAAAGCTTATCAGCCCAGACCTGATTATGAGCTAAAGAAAGATAATGAAAGGAAGGAAATAATCTGTGCCCCAGCATCTCATTTTTGCATAAAATCCACCATCAGGTGACGTACATGGTTTGGAAAGAATTGTGCTAATTTTTAATTTAATTTGTGCGCTTTAGAATTTGAGGTTGAAACCGTTTTGAGTTTTAGAATATGTTGACTGTAAAGAAAGTTTGAACGCTTTATTTTAGGGTATAATTATTTAGTACTGATTGGTTAGTACTAAATCATTAACATTTTAATGAATCTGAATTAATTTTCCCATGTTGTAATTTTGAAATGTGTCTCTGTATGTCGGTGATGTAATGGGGTGTGAGGTTCGAAGCTAAAGTGCTGGGTCGAGGTTCTGGTACAAGATGCTCGTAATACGAGGCGCGTCCCAAAAGTAAGTTTCCCTGGGGCCGTTTACAGAAACAAAACACAATTTCATGGAAATATTTATTGCAACAGATACAGCAAGTGTCCAGCTATTTTTCAACATATTCGCCACCGGAATTGAGACATTGGTCATACCGTGGGACCAACTTTTGAATACCTGTGTCGTAGAAGTCTGCCGCCTGGGATTGGAACCACTGTGTGACAACCATCTCCGCCTCTCTGTCATTCTCAAAACGCTGACGCTGACCGGACAGGAATTTCTTGAGGTGTAGGAAAAGATGGAAATCACTGGGAGCGAGGCCGGGCTGCAGGGTGAATGATTAAACACCTCCCAGCTGAACTCCTGCAGGAGAATTGCTGTCCGTCGAGCCGTGTGCAGCCTAGCGTTATCACTGACCGCACTTCACAGTCGGCGGGAGCTGGGATAAGAACCTCCATCTTCAACAGCTGCAACGATGCTACTGTGAGAACGCGGGAGGTGCCGTTAGTGCATGCGCCATGCTACGTCATTGCTCTATCACGTACGCACAGTCGCTTCGCGTAATATAAGGTTTGCTAGCTGTGGGACGAGTGGGAAACTTACTTTGAGGACGCGCCTCGTAGATGCATCTTGCAAGGAGATAAAAGGTATAGTAGACAGGTAAATATAATGTGCATTGAGCGAATGGTTTTGGGATTTTGAGGAGTGCCATGTTCATCGATTAGTCAGGCCTAACCATTGACTGAAAATAAAAAAATAAATTGTAATGGAATGTGTCAATTTCTTGTTTGAATTTTATTTTAACACGCCTTGAAATTAATATCCTACCAATCAGTGGCTTATTTCAGGGATATGACGGACAAAACTGTTATATAGTTATAATTTTACAATTTTAAGCACTGTCTTTAGAGCCGGATCAGGCAAATTGCCTCGTCAACGAAGAATTTTAATATTAACACAGTCTCGCTGGAAACTTTCGGCCAGGAGCCGCAATAAATTCTGATGCACACAATTTTTTTAAAATATTTTTGTGCACGAATGATGTTCAGTCACGAGACCAGCTTTATTCAAACACCTCTGAATTTCACCAAGTTATAATATTTTATTTTACCAGTAGATGGACCATGACTAATCTAAAATAAAATCATCCCTTTTTATATAAAAATAAAAAGCCACTGAAAGTAAAACAAAATGATAATTATAGGACATTTCAACATTTTACTGAGCCATGAGCCCATGAAACAGCTTTAGTCGCATTCTGCAGGTCTGATGGCGTCCGTCTCTTATCTCGTGTCTACCATTTTCCTCCCTTTTTTTTCTTCTTCTGCTGAACTTTACGTTGTTGCTGTCTCGGCCCGGTACTTTCTGGTTGGATCGGACTGTTAGGGTTCGGAGAGGCTTTCGACTGTTGACTTTGCATCTTCGTCATGTCGCTGAAAATTTAAACGCATTCAGGTCAAATCTTCTGCAAGAAAGTCAGCTTTATATTCTGAGAGGTGAAAGAATGCCTACACTGTATAGTTCATCGCTGGTTATATTTTGGCGTGAATTCCGAGCGGAAGTGAGCAAGTGAGTTTTGAAATTCGTATTATTTGATTATCATGTTTTTATCACTTACTACTGGTCGCTAGCGCCGGTAGCTGCGCCCTGCGTTCCCTTTCCGATGTCCTTATTGCGCCGGTCCTTCTTCTTACGGTAGCCTGTCCGCTCATGCTTTGGTAACCAGCGTTCTGGATCAGGTGTTACATTTGAATCGTAGTTCTTAGGTAGCTTGCCCTTTCGCTTACGTTTTGCTTTCTTCTGAATTAGTTCATTTCCTGGCGTGCTGCAAGAGCATAATACTTGAAAAAATTAGCTAAAGTTTAGAATTAAGAATTTAATATGGAATTTGTAAATTTAATTTTCATTTTTAAAAATATATTTTGCATGCAGTGTTTGTTAAATGTATGTTCTAGAACAAGTGAGATTTGTCTCGACTACACATGAAAAAATAAGTACCAGCATAATTATTTTTCACTGTCAGGAATGCTTGAGTGAACCACCGAGATCATGAACCCTTCTCCCATATTTAATATTCAAAACAAATCCATCCTGATATAAACCAAGGTCTGTATTAGAATGAACCTGAGAGTCGCACGTGCATTCTTGCCGTCTTATCCTGCTATAAATAAAACGGTTAACAGCTCACCCTGGCTTTGAGCCAGGGGAAGGCTCAACTTTTGCCACAGTCCTCTTGATAACCTTCGTTCCCATCATCCAGTTGGATGTTTCTAAAGCATCCACATCTGTGCTCTGGGTGAAGTCTAACTGCGGCAGCTGTTTGCTAAGGGTTTGAGCTTTACTGGGATCAAACTGCAACATGGGGAAAAAAAAAGAACACCTTCATCACTTTCAGTATACAGCCATCATGTCAAGAATATATTTTTTTAAACATAGAAATATTATGGGGGGTCCGCAGTGGCCGTGCGGTCTGAGGCGTGGGTCCTGTGCCGCTTGGTTGCAGGGACCGTGGGTTCGAATCCCATTCGAGCCATGGATGTTTTTCTGTGTTGTGTTGTCCTGTGTACAGGTAGAGGTCCTCGCGACGGGCCGATCCCTCATCCGAGGAGTCCTACCAAATGTCCATAGATCGAGCCAACTGAAAAGTTGGGGACCCGTAAAGGGTACCGGAAAATGAAGAGAGAGAAATATTATGGAGAAAACTATATGCAGTAATTCAAAGTTTGTGTAATATTCCATACATTCACAGTATGAATGACAAATTTTAATTATCCCCTTACCCTGCATTATTCTTTCTGTACCTTTCCAATCGCTCCCAAATCATAGCAATAATTAAAATATCTGTAGTACATTTTTTTTAAACATTTTCATATCTTTAGAAGTATTTCTAAAAGCTCTAAAATAGGATACACTACCATGTAATATCATTATTGCGAACAGGGTCAGTAAACCATAAAACGTGAGCATATAATCACCGACTCATAAATCATATCCTGTTATACAGTCTGTGTCCTGACCTGTGAATATGCCACAACCAACTGGGCCAGCGTCTTTTTGTCACTTGGGTTGATTCTCAATAGCTCCTCCAGACTCTTAGCGGCCACGTCCGGCTCGCCCCCACGCAGGTGGAAGTCCGCAGCCTGGCGCCAGAGTGTGCCCAGATCTCCGGTGCTAACCTGCAAACACCACCAGCAGCGAATATTCACAGAAACTTTCTGTGGTAAAATGTCGATACAGTACTTCAACTTGTGATATTCGTTCACAGCTGTTTTTCGTTGTTGTTTACTTTACCCTCGTAGAAAACGATCGTCCATTACAAAGATCAGTTGGTTAACGCTGTGTAAGAAAATAATCCTCGTTTACTGTAAGAATCATACGAAACACATGAATAAACTGCGTGGGCATAATTCAGAGTTACCAACTGTTAAAGCACGTGGTACATGTATTTTTCACTGGGTTCTAAAGGATTAATGACACTTCATCAAGTGCATAGGTTATACAGCAGTCGCAACATATTTTATTAGTAGTATAACGTCCGAGCATTGACCCGGAGAAGTTCAGAAATTCAATAAGAAACTTCAGTATAGTCTCCAGGGAAATATTTGAGTCTAGTGAATCAGTTACAATTAAGCAACTGTAATCGTACCTTGTTCTTACGATACCAGTCGACGGCATCTTTTAGAACTTTGGAAGCACCGTCACGACTTCCTTCCGCTAGGTAAAGTGTAACTAATGCACTAACAATGCCTGGTTTGAATGTGGCTTCGCCTAAATTTTGTAAAATTTGACAAGCCTCTTTTCTGTCACCCTGAAAAAGAAAGTATATACAGCTGGAAATTCGTTAACGTGAGAAAAATACAGATTTATCTCCATGAAACTGCCAAAAATATTATAAAATAACAGGATAAAGGTATCCAATTCCCTCTCAGTCACTTATGAGCATCAAAATGCCTGCAGGTCTTCGTGTATTATAAGTTCCTTTATTTGTTGTCTGAACCAAAGTTCAAACGTGATAAATTTCCGTGGACAAACCGAAGTCGCTCACCTCCGCTAAGAGAAGTTGCACGGCTGCAAGTTTCAGTTCTAATTTCTTCTCCTGATCTTGCTTTGCCTCTTTATCCAAAATAGCAGCAGCCTCTTTAGTTTTACCGTCCTTGGCAAACTGCGTGGCCCTGATGAGGGCCACTTCTGCCCTCATATCAGGGTACGATGCCACCAGTTTCTCACACGACTGCTGACACAGTTCTCCCTGATTTGTATAGAGGGCAAGCAAACAGTGATTTAAGGCGATGTTCTTGCGCTGCCGCGATGTCAGCTTGTGTTCCAATCCGTCCAGGGTGGCATTTTTCATCTTCTTCTTAGAATCAAATACGTTCTGATCCTTGTTAATAACGACCATATTATTACTTGCAATCGCCACAAGGCCTATGTCATCGGGCTTCTGCTTCAGAGCTGCCGTGTAGATCGACTGCGCTTCCTTTTCTCGACCTAGCATCTGAAGACAGTAAGCCAGCTGTACCCTGTAGAAACAAAACATATTTATAATTATATAAATCTTAAGGGATGCATTATGTACAGAGCCTGATTACGTACTTGATAATGCCCAGTTCACCCTCAATCTCTTCTTCTCCTGTGCCGTCGTCTTCTAAAGATTCTCTGCAGAGTTTCTCACTGACTTTTAACTTCTTCTCTGCGTCTGCGTATTGCTGGCGTCCCACCAGTTGACATGCGCTGTTGTACGACAACTCATACGAGTGTTCCCGTAACTGAACGTCTCGATTCTACGTCATAAGAATTTAAAAAGGCATTACATAACAAGTTTTATGAACTTTGTAGAAAGTTAGTTTTGAGCTTAACAATATGCTGCTTACAAAATTTGTTTTCTAGCACAAGACCTACTGTTATTCTATTAGGAGATAACTATAACCTGAAACAACTGGAACAATGTCTCTGAAATTAAGAACACCAAAATATTGCGTAATATCGTAGTTAGGGCTCTGAAAATACAATCATCCATCATAGGCAAGATAACAAAAGCCAGAAGTGAGAATGAAAATATTTATATAACATATACTGAAAGGGGATGCATGTAAGATAGACTTGTACAGCCCTGGATGTACGAAGCAAAATTTTATGATTGGAATTTTGGAAATTAAATAGAATGACACATTATACACTATCACATATACGCACCGATCCTTCCATACATAAATTTGCCATCACTGCGGCCAGATTAGTTTCTCTTTCATCTTCATAATCATCAGTGGTGTTCTTAATTATATCCCGGTATGTGTCGGAACATTCTTCGTATCTGAAACATTAATTAGGTTTAGATGTCTGCAGATTTCTACAGAGCAACTCATAACAATAGCAGTAATTGTTGCTACAGTGACAGCAAAGAAGTACCTTTCAAGCCGGTACAAAATTTGAGCTTTTAGTTCCTTCAACTGCGATGACAAAGATGTAGCAGCATTCAGAGTCTTAAGTGCATCATGTGGCTGATTTAGTCTGTATTGACAGTATGCCTTTTCAAATACCAACTCCCTGTAAAACAGTAAATTATAATTATGAAAAACCATTAAACTTAACAGTCAAATAGGCGTCACACTGACATATGATGAGAACAAAAAATTACTTTCAGTAAGCAGTGGCAGAGATAAAAATTGTGTAAATAGCCTATGACAGTTCTTTTAATAGTTGTCCTCAGTACCACCAAGTGATGACAGGATATTCCTTCCAAAGCCTTCCTGTTCACCAATCTTTAGAATTCATTCAACGTATGCAGTTGAAATCATATCATTAGCAAACCCAAGAAACGATGATCACAAAAAGGTACTTTTCACCATGATTTGATGAGTTAATTTTGAACTGCAATGTTCATTGAAACAAACAGTTTTGGTGTCAGATTAAGTTGTTTTGTAGTTCATGTTAAACTATAATGCAGTATTTGTAACAAAAAGGCAGTCTAATTCAGTGCCGAGGAAAGGGATACTAAAGATCCAAGGGAGGGGGAACAGAAAGTAGAAAAGGAGACTACGTCCACTTCTTAAATTTTCTCAAAACTTCATGTGGACATTATATTATTGGTTCTATTAATACGTGTTTCACGTAACCACAATTATGATCAAATCTCTTACTGGGAAAATTTTGGTTGGTTTAAAATAGCTTTCAACCCATCTTGGAATCTTGACAGCTGTATGAAGCATACAACCTTACAGTGGAATGCCTTTTCCTCACCAGGAAATTGCTGAAGAACTGCAAAAGAAAATCTTATTACTTTGAATGGTCTTACTATACACAACACAGTCATATCAGCATGCATGGTTCAATCTGACATATGGTATGCACTTCACATTGATATTTTTAAACGTTATCTGCATAAAGACTACTTAAAAATTGTGGAATTAACATTACTTTTATTAGCTGTCTTTAGCGCCCTTTCATATTCTCCGTTTTGTGCGAAACGATTTAATTCAACATACAGAGCACTTAAATTACTTTCCTTTGTAGTAGCCATATTGCTTATAATGTCATCTGGTGGCTGTTTTCGTCCAATCGAAAGCTGTGATTTGAATCTGAAATTCGCAATCCTATTGGCTGCATTGTGGAAACGTGTGCAATCTGTATCAGAAACAGAGTTGTGTTCGTTGTCAGGAAGAGTAGTGTAAAATTGATATTGCCATCCGTAATGCAGTATAGGAGTATCCAGTAACAACGTCAAGATTTATACTGATATTAATATTGCCATCTACAAAGAATTTAAAAATGCAGGAATCGATTTTTGATATATTTGGATCACGACTTACATCTCTGCAACCAACTGTCAGGCCATTGCCTTCTAACACATTTCAGACTGTGAAAGGTAACTAGGTTAATATTTGAATATTTTACAAATTATATTAACGATATAAATGTTCGTAATATATTTCTTGATTATTGTTCACTGTCTACAACGTTTAGAGTCCCTTGGGATGAAGGTCCTGAGAAATTATAATCATGTAGAATAACAGGTAATCAGTCTAAATTTTTTGCGCTGGATTTACACCAATAACCAACCCATAATGCAGATGAATGTCATAGATAAATGAGGTAACTACAGCTGTATTGAATCATGCTTTCATGATATGTGTACTGACTAATTTGAGGTTTCATTATGGAGGAAGGAAGAATTCACACAGATAGTTCACAAAGTTTATTTACTGTTTCTAGTTTCCTTTTTCTTCCCATGTCCAAAACAATGGTGCTCTGTTTCTCCGCTCGCTTAATTCTTGTATTTCACTTATGCATACTTTGCTCTTTAAACTTTATTGTTATGTGTTACTTTATTCCATTTGTGGACATGTGCTTACATGTATGGTTAGAAATTGTTTGTCTGTTTCAGCTCAGCTTGTAAAATAACTAGTTGTAGATGCTTGTGTAGTCCATTAGGTACTAGTGATGTAGTAGAGTACTAATTTAATCTGACTGCAAGTTTGGTGGCTATAATGTGAAGGCTAAATTATGATTTTGTCCAGCCATTGAATTACAAGTTGTGTTGATCATGTAGATTTTATTTGTCTTCAATTATTTTTCATCCATGTGTAAGGAGAAAACTTTTTTTTTATAGGAGAAGATAATGTGAGACTCAAAGCTTCTAGTGTGAGTGGTCATCCTTCTAGTAAGAAGGCTCTTGGTGATGTTGGAAATAAGATGAAGTCATTTCCAGACTCACAGGAATCAAGGAAATTATTGTCTGCCAACTATGATCAAGAAAATTATTTTCCACAGCCATTGTATAAAACTCCACTGTCAAATAAGAAACCAGTAGCACCAAATAAGGAAACACCAAGTTTGAAGTCAACTGTGCGAACACCATTGTCAGACGTAAAAACAGTATCATCTGTATCGAAACAATCATTTCAGAATTCATCAGAATCAACTGTATTAAAGAGTGGAAGCAAAAATTTACTTTTGTCTGAAATAAGTTTGTTTGAAGATCTTATGAATGGAGATGCTAAAGATTTGTCTTGGATGCAGCCTGACGATGTTGAGGTTTATGAACCTGTAGGTCTGTATAATAAGGAGAGATATATAAATAATGTCAACACTGATATATCTTGTGTCCACAGTTACATTTCACATATTTCTAATATATTTTTTTTAATATTAACTGCGTCCCTGTTATTTGTTTTCCATCTTTCCCTGTAGACAACTATGAAGATATTATACCCAACAGCCTTCGTCCGAGCGAGGAAGATATACAGAGAGTGGTACGTTTCTGGGACATGCACACAGATCCACTGGAATCTGATTTTGAAATTGGTCCATTTCTTCCAGTCATTGAAGAACTAGGTAATTTTTCATTTGAATTTTGAGAAGAATGGAATTAATTTACATTCCATTGATTTTTTTACAGGCCTAAGAAAGCGTCGCCACTGTTATTTATGTGTTTTTATAATAGCTGAGAATTTTTGTTGTGTTTGATATTTTAATTACACCGGTATTGTTTCAGTAGCTTCTTATCCGAATTATTCTTCCTCGTCTTATCAATTGTCCTGTTGGATGAGGGACTATAAAAAATATACATTTTTTTTCACACAGATGATGGGTTTGGGCAGGTGCCATTTCCAGATGTAAGCTTTGATGACGACGTACCTCCTGTACCAGTCCCTCCAACAGATTGATGTGTCTGGGACATGATGTCTAATTATTAAATTACTCAGTGATGAGATATTTTCTTTTTTTTAAAAAAAACCAGTAATATTTGAATTAATGTTGAGTTTACTGTTGGTAGTGTTAACAGTCGGAATATATAATTCTGATGTTTTGTCTTTGATTAAATATGTTTCATCTGTAAGATTTGAGGTTTTCACAGATGAAACATGAAGAATATTATTCGGCTTCAGTAGGAGAAGCTGTGTTTTAAAATGTGAGTTAATGCCTGTATACATGTAAGTAAATAAATAAATAAAGATGTATGTAGTTTTAAAGATTTAAAAGATTGTTTTCTTAAAATATTTCAGCTTTGTCCAGATGTGTCACTTCAGATCTTCTATGGGTCTCCGGTCCATATTAACATTTGTAAAATAATAATGGGGAAAAAGATAAATTAATGCCATACAAGGATTACTTTTGCCAGATGCATGAAATAGCACAAGACATTTTATAATAGTTGTACTGTTATTGTTGACAAATTTCTGAATGCACATATGATATATAAATTGCCAGTTTGAAATTGAAGAAGTGGCCTAAGGCCGTTTAAACAGAAGGATTATGGGTTCTAATCTTGTTCGAGGTGTAGATGTGTGCCTTTGTTTTAATATTGATCTTTCCCACAGAGGTACAGGCCTCCTCAAAGGGGTCCTGTGAAAAATCTTAATTATAAACTGTAAGCTGATTATTGACATTTACCTTTCAATTGAAATTGTCAATAATTCTTTGGTGCGCAATGAGAAGGGCTTAACACGAACGTAATCCATATTGATGTAGGTCCATCTTACCAAGAATCAAAGAATTGTAACCTAATTAATTCATCAAAAGAACAATTCTTGTGACCT